ATTTCTTATTAAAATCATAAATTTTTATATAGAGAGAAAATTTCAATTTTCACTATGTTTTATTAGTAAATTTAGCTTCTGAGTCATTACTTTTGATTGCTATTATATATTTTTAAAATTTATTTTATATTATCTTTTTTAAAATATTTAATATCTATTTCTCTCAAATATATAATTATTTTTATTATTCTTAAAATATAATTTCTTAATTAAATATTATATTTAATTTATTTTTTATTTATCTAATTAGAAGTAATAATAATATTAAAATATATTTAAATTATAATTTATTTTATTATATAAAAATTTTAATTTTTTATAAAATAAATTTCAAAATAATAATCATTATTATTATATAATTAAATAAAAAATTTTTTTTTAAAAACTATAATAAATTTTATTTTATTATAAAAAATTTTATATATAAATTAATTTCAAATTTATAAAATTAAAAAATATATATATATTAAGTATAGATATTTTAAAGATTAGACTTTTATTATATTTTTCTTTATATTAATATTAATTTTAATAAGTTTAATAAATAAAAAAAATTTATTAATAATTTATTAGAAAAAAATATAAAAAATCAGAAATAAAATTATTTAAAGAATATTTTTTTATTAATAAATAAATATTAATATATTTAATAAAATTTTGAGATAATTATAAGTTATTACTTCAATATTTTAATTTTTACTAAATTAAAACTTATTAATTTATTCAAAATATTATTAAGTTATAAATTATTAATCTATAAAAATATCTTTAAAAATATTTTAACTAGAGCTTTATAAAATATTTCTTTCTTTTCTTAATAAAAATTTTAATAAATTGATTTTTTAATTTCTAAATCATTATAATTTTTAAAATGACTATAAGTTGAAATTTATTCATTTTTAATTATAATCTTTATATACTTTTCATCTTTATAATACTCATGAAATTCTTTTAATAATTAAGAACAATAAAAAAAACAAGAATTATTATAAATAAATAAATTAATTTTTATTTTTGCAATAAAGCTAATACAAAATTATTATTAAAAAAATAAATAGTAATTCTATTAGTTTAGATCTGATTCTTTATATTAAAAAACTTTCAGAATACTTTATAACTTTATAATATTATTATCTCAATAAATAAACAAATGCATAATTTTTAATTTATAAAGATAGAAAAATATCTGAAAAATGAGTTTACTCATTCAAATTCTATTAAGCTTTCCTTCAATCATCTTAATATTTTAATACTACTATTTCTGATATGAATAATCAGATTTTATTATATATAACAAAGAAACTCATTTATTATGTCTTCATTTCAAACAAAATTATAATGAAATCTGCAAAATAAATATTTCAAGTCAGTTCTTTAAAACTAGTATATCTTCATGTGACATTATAAGATTAATTGATTCACAGATCCCGTCGTTGAACAGTTGAGAGACTTACTTTTGTCAGAATCATACTGTAATTCCAACTTATTCATCAGCCACGGTAATTCTTCCTCTTCATATACGCGTATTCCAATTCTGAACCTCTTTCAACAATTTCAAATATTTTTCTGCAGTCTCTCGACAATTTTTGAAATGATTTATTCCCTCACGTTTATAACACAATACTAGTTGTTTTCGCATTAGTTTGGTTTCCATTACTTTTATCCATCTTTCTCGTATAAATGCTTCGCGTGCATCTAGAACAGCTAATTAATATTTGTAATCATCAATGTCATCGTTGTGAATTTTTGTCGAATATAAAAATAGAATAAAGGTTAATTGAAAAAATAAATTGGATAAAAAATTGAATCAATTTAAATTTATTATCGATGTTATCTTTTTTAGCGTTTAATCCTACCTTGTTTATCAGAAGGATCAATTGACGAAAGGTCTTCCGGAAGTTTGGGAAATTCTTTATGTTTAGGATACTCCCAGCTCGCCATAATATAAATATAAAAAGGTCCGATTTTTGTTGTTGATGGGTCTTTTAAATAAAGTTAGTGTAACTTCAATATGTAATATCTATTTCGTGGAACCGTAAAAAAATTGGAACCATCAAATCTCATTTCATTGTTTTTATATTACAACTACAACTGCAACTACTCTAATCCTAGAATCAATAATGTTTAATTGGATTGTCAATAGACCTAACAGAGTTATTGAACTACAGAAATATTATCAGGTATGTAAATGAATTATTTGGTGATAGTGAAAACGGGAATATAACAATGATTAATTGAAATATATAAAAGCAACCGGGACCAGTATTTCTTAAAGGTAGTCTACGTAAACCAATTATTGTTGCTTATTCTATAATGTTATCAGGGACTTTCTTGGGCGCTCTCTACGGTACTGTGAGAATGGCACAGGTAAATTATAATAGAAATCAAACAATATTTAATAGGTGATTTCAGATTTATTTGATATTATTTATTCTATTTTAGGGTAAAAAATGACGAAAAAATAATATATAAATAAAATTTATTGATTTACGAATATCTTTCGTACATTATTTTTACGATTTTATTTCATTAAATATCCATTTCTTCCGATAACTTAGTTCAAAATAAGAAATGTTCGATTTCGCAATTTACTAATTTTAAGATTTGTACTTACGTGTACATGTCTTCATCCTATTATTGATATATACTGAAGTGTATGCTATTGTTACAAGAGTAACGTTAAAACAGTAATTAGAGAAAATTATGGATTATTCAAAACGAAAAAAAAAATAGAATCGAGGAGGATTGATCTTTTCGTAGTAACATAATAGTTTCTAATTCCTTTTACGAAATCTCCATTTCGATATACAAGAAACTTTCCTTATTAATGCGAAATGTGCATGTATAATATCGACATTTCATAATACTATTTATTACCGTTGTCTTTATCATTATCACTATCGTCATTATCAGCTTCTTTATTATCACTATCGTCACTATTATTGTCATTACCGGCTTCTTTATTATCAGTATCGTCACTATTATTGTCATTATCGGCTTCTTTATTATCAGTGTCGTCACTATTATTGTCATTATCGGCTTCTTTATTATCAGTGTCGTCACTATTATTGTCATTATCGGCTTTTTTATAGTTATCAGCAGACTGTTCAGAAGACTTAACAATTGCACTTGATTGAGTTTCTTGCTGCGAAGCTTGTTTTTGTTGCTGCTATTAAAATTATTAAAGATGATTGAGGAAAAGTTTATGTTTTAATAATAATAAAGATTTTTTATTACCTGTTGTCTCCAAGCATGTGCCATAGCCAAGAACTTGAAATTCGGTTGCTGTGTCTGATCATCTGGAAAGATATAATCAAAGTACTCTTCCCATACAACGCCAGCTTGTCCTTCGCTTTCATCCAATTTTCTCCGTTTCTTGACAACTTTGGGCATTTTGCTTTCGACGGCAGATAATGTCTCTTGGGTGCCATGATTTTTTTCGAAGTCTTTCCACGATTCGAGTAGTAACACTCGCTGTTCAACAAAAAAGAAATTAATCATGATAATAATAAATATATTTTGGGTTGTTATTCGAATACATAAATAATCTTAAAAACAAAAATTACTCACTTCCTCTTTTAATTCTTTTTCCTTCATTGATTTGTACGCATCCTCAAATACCTTTCTTGCTCTTTTTACAGATTCCTCGCGATCACCTTCTGCATCTTCAGCACCAGTGTTCAACTCAAACTGAGCAAAGCTGATCCAAACTTTATAGTGGCCTGTTTTGCTTAGGAGACGTTCATAGAGCTTTCGTGTTTTTTCAAACTCTTCTTCAGTGAATTCGAAATCAATATACGCTTTCCATAATGTCTCTGGCACATCAAGAACAGGTTGAGTCACGCCAAGCTCGAATATCGCTCGACATCGATCATAGTCACCTAGCATGCGCTCTAGTTCTGCAAATTTTATCCAGGCGTAACAATTTGCGGGATTATACTCTAGATACTTTGTGTATAGTGTTCGACAGCGGTCGAATTCTCTGAGCTAAATAATAATGTTAATGATGATTATAAGAAATTATATAACTTTTTAGTTGATATCTGTTTTAAATAAGCTTACTTGTAATTCCAATTCTATATATCCCTTAAAAATTCTATCCTTTGGACACATCCCTAAAAGTTTTATAAATATATGTGCATGTTAATCAATAGAATATAAATTTACACAAATTTGGTAAATTAGTGAGTTTTTACCTATAGCTTTGCCAAGAGTCAATCTCGCTGTCTGTAAATCAAGCCTTCGCACCTCAAATTGAGCATACATTAGCCATATCTTTGCAAACGTAAACTTTTTGTGTGGTATCAGATCTAGGCATGCCAAATATATTTGTTTTGTGTTTTCAAAATCCTATATTAAAGCATTAGAGATATATGATCTTTCATTATCATTTTTACAATTAAAATAATAATCATTAAATCTCAACAAGTAAAACACACCAACCTTTGTAACAAGCTCCTCAAATAATGCATAATATATCCATAAATATATATAACGCCGCCAAAACCGTTTTTCTTGTGTGGGAGGTACCTGAGCTATTGCGCGCTCATAAATCTCACGTACTTTATCGACATCTCCGCTGTTTTCTTCAAGCCGGGCATAGTCGAACCATATGTCATAGTTTTTTGGATTTGTTTTTAATGCCTAATAGAATAGACAGATAAACCGTTTATTAATAAGTCATTAGATAAGATATAAATAAAAGATGTGACATGCATTATAGCGAATTTACCTCCTCATATTGTATCCGCCGCTTTCCTACTACCACATCTTCAATGCCTTCTTTATCACCATACTGCTTTTCAAAATGAGTGTACGCGTTATATAAAGCTTCGGATTTTGAGCGCGGTAATCGTTCCAAAGCATATTTGTATATAACACGAGCTCTCTCATACTAAAAAATTTTAATATCAATCAAAATAAATTGAAACGTAAAAAATGCGATATTCTCAATATTTATTTATATTCACCTCTTTTAATCTTGCTTCAAATTTAGCAAAAGCAATAAAAATCTTTTGGTCCATATGATCTTCGCCCAACATCTCTATTGCCTGATTGAAAATTTCACGGCATTTTTCTAAATAAACAATTTTTTTTAAATTTAACCATAAACATTTTAATATAAGAACAAGAAAAAAAGATAGACTTACCCAGATTATTTTGCTCCTCTTCAAACTTGATCCATTTTAGCCAATTCTTTGCCTGGGGATGCACATTGACAAATCGCTCATATATGGCTCTTGCTCTATCTATTTCATGATATCTTTTTTCCATTTTGATGTAGGCGTTCCACGCGTTCTCATCTGGTTCCCATTGCATCCAACGCTCAAATATTTGACGCGCTCCCGCAACATTTCCCAACATCTCTTCCATATAAGTATATTTATACCTAACATGAGGCGAAAACATTCTAATTATCACTTTCCGTGTGTAAAAAGAATAGTCAACTCATGTTAATGGCAATTAATTACCAAAATTGGTCTACCCTAGGAAGGAGCGTGACAGCTCGATCAAATAAATTTCGTGCATGGTTAATATTTCTATTCTTCATTTCCATTTCAGAATACTTTATATATAGCGTGACATTTCGCGAGTCTACATCCAGGGCGCGTTCATAGATTGAACGGGCTCTATATAATGCAAAGTAAAAAATTTAACTTTTGATACCATGGCTTTTTAAGAGAAAATAGCTCTTAGCGAGAGCAAATTGAAAAATACCTATCTAATTCCTTTTGACTCTCTTCCCAGGCTGCATATTTCAACCAGCTACCGACGTTTAGCCTATTTCTACGAATTGTATCCTCAAATTCCTTGCGTTTCCTTAGACGATACTCGGAGAGTTCTTCTAAGTCAGATATTCTTTGTCGTGGCGCTTGTTTCGCAGTTTCTTGTCGTTCCTTTGCCTCTCGTAGAATTTGTTCAGCTGTGATTTGAATTGGCGCTGGATTTTTGTTTTTAATCTATTGAATATGAGTTTTCTGTTGTCGCGCAAAGAAACTAAGCTTGGTATGCTAAAAAAAAAAACAAAGGAACAAGTTACCTTTGGTGGACCTCGCTGCTGTTTATAAAGATTTGGTACTTGTGTGGGATCCATCGCGAATATACTAACTTTTTAAAATAGGAAAATCTAAACAAACTGCTTTTCTGTGAAATTCCCATAGTAGGGGTCCACTAAAGCCGGGTATTTTCACGTGACATAGAATTCGATCCGGATCGTGTCATGTGATTCATTCGTATCATGTGAAAAGTAATTATTGGCTGAACATATTATCGAATAATAATAGCGAACAAGACAATTAAAAATTAGCGAACACAAAACAATGACAATAATTAAGAAATACGGAGATAATTATTATAGCAAATATTAATAATAATTATATGGTGCGAATGGCCTAAAGACATCAAGTGCTGCGCCACTGCTGAAATTTGGAATGCATGTATTACGATATGATCACGTGATAGGCGCGTCGCGTCAGAAAATATATCAGAAGTAATTTTAAGCTCTTAAAAAATTATTTAGGAGACTTTTAAATATTATTTAGAAGACTCATATTAAAGACTTATAAGATAAGTTATTTCTCTCTTTTACTATATAAAAAGACTTGTTCAGGAGATAATGTTTTCTTTACTATATAATTATAAAATAATAAATAATCTCTCTTTCTTGTATTATTATCTTTCTTTTCTATGATATAAGTCTTTTTTGCTATATTATTAATCCCTCTTAAGCTATTTTAAGATGCATTTTCTCTTTCTCATATCTAAATAAAGTAAATATGTTAGATATTGCTTAATAATCACCAAAAAATGCTAGAATAATATCAAGTCAAAATAAGAGAAAGAAGTATTAAATATTGATGAATCAAGTGATGATACTATTCTATCAGAAAATTTTTGGAAGTGATTTGTATTAATTTTTATTATTAGTTATATTTCAATATATATTAGAGTTATTAATATATATTAAAATAGATATTTGAGATATATT